CCCCCCCCACGTCTAGTTTCTCCAACTCCGGTACGTGATTGACAGATGCGATGACCACGGGACATCGAAGGGGGTGAGATATTACAGCTGTTTTCGTATGAATAAACAAACTGAACTGATCCAATTAGCCAATTACCATTTCATCTCAAAAATTGTCACCCTGACAACGGGAATCAAACGATCTTAACCCTCATTTGGGTGCTTCAGTGAACATGCGGTGGAAACTTTGAACACGAACTGTATCCACGCCCCCCCCCATTAGAGTGGGTTCAACCAATCGACTCGGAGATATGAGATCAACTGCATTTGGTCCTCTCAACTTTTACAATTAAACCAATGGCGAGATGCCCCATTTTCCAAATAAAATTGACAGTGAATGAATTTTATTCTATCGTCGTATTCCGATTAGTCACGCAGTAAACATGAATTAAATGAAACCCTAACCTTAATGAATATCGTACTTTAATCACAGGCAGTAGGACACGATAAAATCGGACGAGAGCTGTTATTTTGACCTCGAAGGTTACATATTCTGATTTAAGGTGTCTCAACTTCGAACTGAAATGTTGACCTTCATTTGTCCTCCCAAATTCATGACCGACCGATATCCGATTATAGAGGATTGTTGCATTTCTTCCTGTTGACAAAGCCTAGAAAGGTGAGAAAATGGTGTGATAATTACCCTCTTCGCGTTAGTTCTTGAAAGCCATGACTTTCCCAGTATAGCCTTTTCACCGCCTTTAAATTCTACTCCACATAGTCTCTCTGTGTTGGTTCATTTCTCTGTCCTTCCAGCACAACCTTAGGGCTATCTCGTTTGACATGGGCGTTCTAGTGTGTTATGAGTTCGTTTAATGATATTAAGAAGTCCTGCATGCACAGTGGGCCTTCCATAGAGCATACACGAGCAAATGGCATTTTTCGTCCAGCAGTGCGTAGCGGGTGGTTGCATATTCCTCGAAGTTAATACCACCTAGTTACTTTCGACGCTTGGAGCACTCTAGTCTCTTGTGCTCCACTGTTCTAAACTTTCCAAAAGAAGGAATCTAAATCAGTTCCCCTCCGAGACGTCAGTCGGATCTTTTCTCTAGGCATTCTTGCATTCATCAAACCAGTTGTTAAAAGTTAGATTTACTCCAGGATTATAGTGAAATTTACTTATCTCTAAAACCATCGTTGACATGGCTCGATTTTGGGTGATTTTTTCATTTTGTCTAAGGCTCAGGCTCTGTCGCTATGTAAATCGTTTCCTCAACTGTTGATGCTGCAAAATAATTTCTCTAAGTTCCACTTTTTCTATATTTGTTCCAGTTTATTTGTCTTCAAGGCCAATTCATGCATTGGGATATTAATAGCCCTCTTTTTCCAAACTGTGACGCCAGAATCGTTAAATTTCAATGCCCAAATGCCATTTTCAATAAGAATGATAGGCAAATTTCGAAAAAAAATCATTTTTGAAAGTTATTTTGGCGGAGTAATAAATACTACTTAAACGAAATGATGAGTACTTTTATCTTAAAGCCCCCACGTCCCACCCCAAATAATCACCCAATGGAGTGCAATTTGTGACCCCGAAACGAGGACACGTTTTCACAGCTGATACAATTTAATTAAATGGATCGAATTTCATACCAAACAATTTCAAGCTGTTGAAATTACTCTGAATTAAAAGTAGTGAATTTGAAGCAATTTATTTACAAGATGAGCGAGGATTGATGAAATCGAATGCAGGTGTGAAAGTGATCGCAGTCAAGACACGATTGACCTCTTGTCAACGCCCGTGGACAAACTCCAGCTGTCTCGAAAATCCAATATAAACATTTTCTTATCTGTTTATCTCACCCCCTAGCCTTCCCCCCTCTACATCCCCCCCCCAAACCACCCCCAAACCACCCCCAAACCACCCCACGCACTCTCCATCACTCCAACTGCTCACCTCATAAACCCATGTAACAGTTTTTTCGAAGTAAATTAAGTGCCAAATAAGTTTCCACAAGTTGTTACTAAATAGTTGAATCACACTTTTAACATGTTTCTTTAGCCTAACGCATTGGAGGAAGAGTAAGAATTTGAGACAGAAGATAGTTATCATTTTTTCGTCCTTTCAACTGCTTAATATGCTAAGAAATTGTAACGAGGTAGGAGCTTGGCTTCGAAACTATTATCAACAACTACATGTGTCACAAACATTTTGAAACAATTTCTTTGCAACAAAATGTTTTGTCCCAGCAACTATGACCTCTCAAACATGGGGTTTGCGATAGACTTACCTCTACGTGGTGCTCCCAGGGCAACATATACTTACTGGCAGTGGACTTCTGACTTCAAACTACCACGACCCCACTGTATGTTATATTCAGCCACTTCCACAGTCCTCATCTTACCTTTTCCTCTACCTTTGTGTCTGTCTCTTTTGCATCTGGAAATCACTCTTCTGCTCCTCCTCCTCTCGAATTTTTCCCATTTTGATGTTCCTCCAATCTGTGAAGTCCGAAATCAGCTTAAGGGCAAATGATAAATAAATAAATAAATAGTAGGAAACAGGAGTGTGCGATCCACTTATTTCAACGTAGTGCATCCCGGGCAACATATTCCTCCCCTCTGTGAAGTCCGAAGTCCNAGTTGAATCACACTTTTAACATGTTTCTTTAGCCTAACGCATTGGAGGAAGAGTAAGAATTTGAGACAGAAGATAGTTATCATTTTTTCGTCCTTTCAACTGCTTAATATGCTAAGAAATTGTAACGAGGTAGGAGCTTGGCTTCGAAACTATTATCAACAACTACATGTGTCACAAACATTTTGAAACAATTTCTTTGCAACAAAATGTTTTGTCCCAGCAACTATGACCTCTCAAACATGGGGTTTGCGATAGACTTACCTCTACGTGGTGCTCCCAGGGCAACATATACTTACTGACAGTGGACTTCTGACTTCAAACTACCACGACCCCACTGTATGTTATATTCAGCCACTTCCACAGTCCTCATCTTACCTTTTCCTCTACCTTTGTGTCTGTCTCTTTTGCATCTGGAAATCACTCTTCTGCTCCTCCTCCTCTCGAATTTTTCCCATTTTGATGTTCCTCCAATCTGTGAAGTCCGAAATCAGCTTAAGGGCAAATGATAAATAAATAAATAGTAGGAAACAGGGGTGTGCGATCCACTTATTTCAACGTAGTGCATCCCGGGCAACACATTCCTCCCCTCTGTGAAGTCCGAAGTCCGGGCAACATATACCCATACGCAAAATTCTATATTCAGACTTCAAACTATCATGACCCGTCTGCAGATCAAATTCTATAGGTGTTAGTTAACAGTACTCACAATTGAATCTGTCTTTTTATTAACTGTGAATCACTCTTCTGTTCCCCCTCTCGATTTTTTGTGACTTTAATATTCCTCCCCTCTGTGAAGTCCGAAGTCAACTAAGTGTTTATTGATAAATATCCTAATGTCAGCCATCTGATATTAATAAATATTAAGAACCAATTAGGAATATTGCATTTTACTAATAATATGAAAATTCCACTTTTCATTAAAGTATGTAGACATTGTTGCATAATTCCATTTGTTGCTTTTCGATTTCTGTATTCTCATCCGTCGCTCTGAAATCATCATTATCATTCATTGACACATTTGAAAATGACTCCAGACAGCGATGGAGAAGACGCCCAGTAATTGCTTGGGTTGATGATCGGTTTTTGCGGAACACATCTATCCGATCTCTGGGTCAATATCAAAAAATGCATCCATTAAGTCCTCTCATGATGCAGCACCAAACTTACACTCCCAGTAGAGGATTGGCCAGAAGTCGTTGTATTCAGATACCCCATGTACTCTTTCCACCCTCCAACCAGGGCCTCTTTTGCCCTCCGCCTACTCCTCATGACGATAGGTGCATTGGTGTCTGGCCATGCTAACTCATTGAAATGGCTGATTCTATTCCTCTGGAAGGTGATCTTAGCCCCGATGCCAGCTGGATACATCTATTCATTAACAATACGAACGTGACTAGTCATCGGGTTTGTGTTCTCAACATAACATTAGTTAATGAGTTAATTCCTAAGTTTATAGAACTTATATTTTGTTTAAAAGGAGTCACAGATCAGCAATGAGACTCTAATGCATGGGATTGGAGAAGATTCTGAACAAAAGGGAGTTGTAACTTTCCCTTTGCGATCGATTGCGCACATTGAGGAAAGGCGATTTGAACTTCGTGATCTCGCTCTGGAATTATTCTTTAATCGGATGTGCAATATTCCACCTGTCATGATTGCCTTTCGTTCAAAGAAAGCAAGTTGACGCCTCATTTATTTATCGTACGTGTTTGGGTTGATGAATTACAACTTCTTGCAATTCTCTAGGATCGGGATCACTTTCTGCTAACTTTGGTTGGAGCCTGCAGTGTACTTCTACCACATTATACCTCTCCATGGTGGTGAGTAGGCAGCTTTGGGATTGAAAACTGTCGTCGGTATCCATCACAACGTCTTCGAGATGCTTGTGCTGGCATTCTTGGTCCCTTTTCAACACCCTACATTGGTCAAGCTACTCGTGGACGTCTTCTCGACGCTCAAGTTGCCTGGCTCCGAGGTCAAATGTCAAATTTTGATTATCTTATGGCGCTTAATTCCGCCGCAGGGAGGACATACAATGATATTACACAGTACCCCATTTTCCCATGGGTTATAGCTGTATGTTGAATAGATATGGCAATCATCTACTTTAATTGTATAAGTAGGTATAAGTACAGCTTTGACGAGGAACAACGGTCCATTCTTTGTCCTGTCTATCATTATTCATCTTTCTGTTCTAATGAGGCCATCATTCTTCATCTTCTATTCCGCCTCATTCCAGTTGCATTCAGGCTTATTCAATTTCAAGGTATCTTACTGGGATCTGTAAATCAATCTTATATGTGTTCAATAAATACATTTTTATCACATTTCAAGATGGCAATTTTGAAAATCCCAACCGTCTTTTCCACTCTATGGCCGTCGAATGAACAATGGCAAAAGATTCAGCGAAGCATGTTAAGGAGTTGATTCCCGAGTTCTTCTTTCGATCTGACCTCTTCACCAACCATGAAAACTTTGAATTAGGCACTCGTCATGATGGCATACTGGTTGATGGAGTTGAACTACCTCCGTAAGAATGTCACACCTCATAGATCACTTTTAATCTTTCTGGGTGATTGGCAAATTCACTTTCATTTACAGTTGGTCC